TCTGTGCCCATCTTCCTCTATTTTGTATGTGGGTCGCTGCCACAGCATGGTGATGAGTGGTATTGTAGGTCCACACCCGGGCACCAAACCCATGCACCCTGGGCCACCCCTAATTTTTCAAGCGTTAAGCAGAGCACACGATCTTCACCACCATGCCACCAGGCCCCTAATTTTTCTTTTTAAAGGAAGTTGTCTGTTCTTATATATGGTGCTCTGGACTGCAATAGAACAGGGGCTTCATAATAACAGGAAATGTCTCCATAGCACCTCCCAAGTCCAGGTGCGTCACGTCATTAATTATTTCATTCCCCTGTGACTCAGGACAGTAGTAATTATTATTATCTCCATCCTGGGTGAAGAAACTGAGGAGATAAGAAGTTTGAAGAACTCGTCCAAGGCCACATAGCCAGGCAATGGGGGAGCCAGGATTTGAACCCCGGTTCCCAGGCTCCAGGGTCCACTATCTACTGCTCAAACCATCTAGCTGCCTTGTGACTCTAATGCAACAGGATGCAATGCAGGGTACCACACATCTTAACAGCTGTGTGACCTTGAGAAACTGAAAGCACTTCTCTGGGCCTCTGTTTCTTCATCTATAAGACGGGATTAACAATAGGGCTACCTTAGCCAGCCCTACTGAGGACTGGATGAGCAACAGATTTAAAGGGCTTGGTTAGTGTAGAGCCTGGGACACACTGCTACCTAATGTGATCTTAGAAATCAGGAAGCGGAAGCTCCGAGAAGTTACTGCCACGTCAGAGGTCACACAGCACGTATGTGGCACCTGAGAGAAGAATGGCCATGCTGGAGGGGTCACTTCTGTGAGCCAGGCCTACTGCTAAGACAACGAATGCTTACAACAATCCCTCGAGGCAGTGACCATCAAGCTTCCCATTTGATAAGTGAAGAAACTGAGGCTTGGCAATGAGTCTGTGGAATTGCCGCTCTGGCGTTGCTGAGGGCTATGGCTTTGGGGGGCTCCTGGGGTCCCAGAGTGGAAGAGGAAGGACGTGAGAGCTCCTAGTGACCATCAGGGAGAAAGGCGGCTATGTGATGGAAAGGAAAAGTGACCATTATTACAATTAGCAATTAATACCAATGTGAGGGTCTGGTGAGGGCCACTGGCCTTGGGGGGACATTTGACTCTGAAAAATGATTTAGGTCTTGACTTGAACGCAGGGGTGACAGTCAAAATATTCGACAATGCAACAGTGGTCAAAATGCACCTATATTGGGGGCCGGCCGGCCCCATGGCTTAGCGGTTGAGTGCGTGCGCTCCGCTGCTGGCGGCTCGGGTTCGGATCCCGGGCGCGCACCGACGCACCGCTGGCCGCGTCCCACATACAGCAACTAGAAGGATGTGCAGCTATGACATACAACTGTCTACTGGGGCTTTGGGGGGAAAAATAAATAAATACATAAAATCTTAAAGAAAAAAAAATGCACCTATAGGCATAGAAATCAGAACAGTGGTCGGCTTGAGTGGGGGGCGCTACCTGGCAAGGGGCTCCAAGGAACATTCTAAAATGGTGGCAATGCTGTCTTGATGGGGAGTTGGTTACACAGCTATTGTCCAAATTCAAGGACTGTACACTTAAAAAATCTGTGCATTTTTCTGTATGTAATTATATCTAGAATATATACATTTATGCTCATGTATATGTGTGTTTATATATCTAACCACAGGTTAACGTTAATGCTTTAGTTGATGGATTGGGCTGAGGCCTGCAAGTCCCCGGGGCAGGGCTGAAGGGGGTCGTTGGGGGTTTGGGGTAGTGGTTCTTTACTCACTAGAACAGATATGTTTTTTTTTTTTTGCTGAGGAAGATTTGCCCTGAGCGAACATCTGTGCCAGTCTTCCTCTATTTTGTATGTGGGTCGCTGCCACAGCATGGCTAATGAGTGGTGCGTAGGTCCACCTCAGAACCAAACCAGGGCCACCCAAGCAGAGCACGCTGAACTTAACCACTAGGCCACCAGGGCTGGCCCAGATACGTCTCTATTCGAATAACCAATGTGGCTGTAGAAGTATGATCCAGCCTCCTCCAATGTCTCAGCTCCAGGAAATCCTTCTGAACTGCCCCTTTATTTAATTACAACACCCCACACTCCCTCTTCCCTGCCCGATTTACTGGTCTCCATAGCATGTGTCACCCACCATCTAACATGCTCTACATTTTCCTTATCTTCTTTAGTACCGTCCCCAACTAGATCGAGAGCTCCTTGAGGACAGGATTCTGTCTGTCTGGCTCCCCGCTGAGTCCCCAGTGCCCTAAACAGTGCCAGGCCCCTTAACAAATGCTCCATAGATATTTGGTGAGTGAATGAAGAACGATTTTATCAAAAGCTAACACTTACTCAGCACTTACCACAGGCCAGGCGCTTTGCTCAGTGTTTACAGGTAAGAATTCATTTAATCCTCGAGGGAGGTGCTATCCTCACCTCTGTGTTACATGTGGGGAAACTGAGGCTCAGAGAGGAGCCCTCGCCCAAGGCTACACAGCCTGTAAGCAGCAGAGCCAGGATCGAATTCAGGCTTGGCCGACCCCACAGGTGTTCAAGATCTCTGTCCAAATACAAAGGATGTGACCAGCAGGGAGGGTCTGTATGTTCACACTGCCGGAGTTCTAGAACCCGGTACCCTGGGGCAGACAGGGGTTCTGGTTAGATGTTGGGCGTGGGCTTCGAGAGCAAGGGCAAGGGGCAGGAGTTTGTCTTTTCCAGAGCTGGGGCAGAAGCAGTGATGGAGAAGTGGAGGAAACAGACATATGGAGGTTCACATCTCCCAACCCAGGGAGGGTACACTGCATACTGGGGAGGGGGCCTGGGGGTTCAGGAGCAGGGGCAAGGAGGGGGTTCTCAGATCCAGTGGGCAAAAGCTAGGGGAAAGGAGGGGGCTTCAGGATTGGGGTGTGGGCTGCCCAAGATCTTCATCAGGTCATGGGGCTCATTCTGGAATGGGGAGCACCTAGTTTAGAGCCTGGAGATGAAAGGGAAAGATGAGTGGGGAAAGGGAGGTGGGGTCCTGGAAGTGGGTGCAAGAGGCAAATAGGGGTTCTCAGAAGTGAGCCACAGAGAACCCAGAAATGGCTTTCAGGGGTCCTGGAAGTGGACATCAAAATTCCCAGAAGAGGGTGATAGGATCCCAGAAGTGGGACCACCAGGAGGCCGGAAGTGGGCTTCCGGCATCCCGGAAGCAGGTAACTGGATTCCCGGAAGGAAACCAAGTCGAAGCCCTCCTCACCCAGAAACGGGAGAGATGCCTTTTCCAAGAGCGCAGTCCGGAGAGGTAGATCTCCTGCAAGACCGGGGCGCTGAGCTCCGCTTCCCCCCCGGCCGAAGTCAGCGAGGGTCGGAAGCCCACGGCCTGATGTGCTTCAGCCATGTCACGCTAGAGCCCTGGGAGGAGTACAGAGGGTCATTCTCCAAGTCCCCAGCCCCCTCCTCCTGCACACCCAGCAGTCCGGGCCCCCAGCCCCCTCCTCCCGCAGACTCGGGAATACAGGACGCCGGCTCATCCTTCCCTAACCACCTGAGGGGTCTTGAGGGTCCTGGCCGGAGACTCCGGTGTTGGGGGGACGTCAGGTGGGGACCTCTGTGAAGGCATAGAGAGGCGGGAGGGCTAACTCGCTTAACCCCTTTTGCGGCTCCTCTGAGAACGTGGTGCGGGGGCAGTGTTCCCCGCCCCCCCCCCCATATAGGACTTGCAAGGTTCGGGGGTGGGGGCAGGAAACTGGTCCAGAGGGAGTTGCGAGATCTCCAGAAAAACAGTGCCAGACCCATTTGAAACGAACACCTGCCGGACGTTGGCACTGTCCACCCCATTTCCGCTTCCCATTCCAAGGCAGGGGGCGGGGGGGTGATGTCTATAAATTCATCCGCTCCGGGGTGGCCCAGCGTCCCCTCCCCCCGCTCCGGGCTGGAGGGGACGGAGGAGGGGGGAGCACCCTACTGCGCATGCCTCGCCGCCAGGGATGCTGAGGCTGTGAGCCTGGGCGAGCGTCGAGAACAAGTGATGGAGAGGCCCGCACGCCCAACCCTAGACCTCCAGCCCCCGCCGGAGCTCCACCGGTCCGGTCCGGTACTTACCTCGCTGAGTCAGGGGTCCGCCGATCGGATCCTGGGGACCAAGCCAAGTACACCCCACCCCCGACCCCCGATTGAGAGCGCAGGACCCAAGTCTCCCACTCGCATATGTCCAATCCCAGTGCGACGAGTCCGCGACTTGGTCGACGGGCCTCCGGAGCTCCGGCCCGCCCCCGATTATCCAACACCCAGGAACCCCGATTTCGGTCTCGCGTGTGCCTGGGCGGGTATTCAAGCCCCTGGTTTTATCCCCGCCCCCTTCCAGTCTCGGCCTCCTGTCCCCGCCCCCTTCCCATCCCCGCGCTCTCTCCCCGCCCCCTCGGGGCCCAGCGTCCAATCCCCTCCCTCCGTTCGCTGCCCCGTCCTCAGTCTCCTTCTACCCGGCCTGATTCTCCAGCGTTTGGCGTCCCCGGTTGTACGCAGCAGGTTCTCCGGCTCCCCAGTCCGCTCTTTGTCCCCGTTACTCTCCTTGCTCTTCCAGGAACGAGGCTCAGCTCGGAGCTCACAGCCCACCTCTGAGTGCACGTCAAGTCACGCGCCGGAGGTATCGAGCCGGAGCGGATGTCAGCCCTGCCACTCCGGGGAGGGGTCCGGCTGCCTTGGGGTCAGGTCGGCCCACCAAAACCACCCACGAAGGTGCAGCTGCATGAGTTGAGTTGGCGCGGAAGAGGCGCTGCAGCGGATTGGATTCAAGTTAGACAGTCAGAGGGACTCCCGTGAGGGAAAAGGTGCATGGAGAAAGGGGAAGAATATATTAGGGACCGGGCTCAGATTGGGAGGCTGGAATGGGCACAGACAAGCACAGACTGAAACACGCAACTCTCGTTTTATTTGGCTCTGGAGGTTAATATTCTTTATCCATGCTGGGTCCGTGTGCCGCTGGGTCCAGCCCAGTCACAGCCTCGGGGGGGTAAGAGACGGTCTCTGAGCCCAGGAGGTAGAGTTAAGGGAAAAGAAACTTGTATACAGATGGGTAAACTGAGGCCAGGAGAGGCGCAGAGACGTGCCCACCATCACGCAGCGAGCTGGGCACTGCGTGGGCTTCGTTGCCGCGGGCTGGGGTCCTGGAGACGCCCCGGGACTGTGGCCCCGCGCCGCCGGCGGCGCCCGTAGCTGCGGGGGTCCTGGGGCTGGCGGCCAGCCTTCCCCGAGGGCTCCTTGGTGGAGGCGGAGTGGAGCCAGTATATGATCTCCGGCAGGCGGTGGGCCTGGCACGTGCCCAGGGAGCAGAGGCGCCCGCGGTGCTGGGGGACCTGGTGCCCGGGCCGCCTGGGGAGGGAGCGTGGGAGAAGAGCGGGTTCAAACAATCCGCTCGAGAAACCGGGCTCGGTGGAGGCGGGGCGCGCTGACACCCTCCCATCCACCGAAGAGGGCGCACGCCCCTCGCCGTCTCCTTTCCGCCCCGTCCCCGCTGCCACCGGCCTTTCTCACCTGCCCGCGGAGTCCGGGTCCCCCAGGACGGAGGCGGCGAGGAGCCACAGCAGGATCACGTGAGCGGTCATCGTGGGGAGGGCGGGGCTCGGGGAGACCGGTGGGTGAAGCAGCCCCTCCGGGATGCGGCCCCGCCCCCTCCCCGCGACCGGATAATCCCCTCTGAGCGCCCACTCTAGCGCGGGTACTCGGCGCCAGTCCCCACTTCCGAGGCGGGGTAAACTGAGGCCAAGAGTCTACAAGGCCACACCACACCCGGGCAGGATTAGAACCCGCGCCCACGGAGCCCTCATGGGTGTGCCGTCCTGCGGCCGTGCTGTCTATGCCCCTGGGAGGCCTGGGGAGACGCGACCCTTTAAGGCGGAAGGGGGAGGGGCGGGGCCGCTACCACCTGCAAGTGGTGACCCAGCATGGGCTTCCAGGAAAGGGGTGGGGGCGGGGAAGTGCTAGGCTCCAGTGTAGACGCGCGACCTCTACTTCACCCTCACCCGAGGTGACCGGGAGTCTCAGGGGCCAGGCGACTTCCAGAGGGGGCTGGGCAATGTGGGACATGTGCAGACAGAGCCACCTGGGGATGAGGACAAAGGGAGTCTGGGCCCTAGCATAGCTGGGGTGGACGCCATCCCAGAAGAGGAAGGGGTGTAGACAGGGGTGAGGGGCCAGCAGGCCCAGTACTCCAGCTGGACTGGAGCCGGTGTCACCAAGGCCATGGAAAGACATGGATGTTGTCATGGGTGATCCAGGTTGTGGGGGCGCTTCCTGGGGGCCTAGGGGGCTCTGTGGACAAGGCCAAGGGAAAGGAAGGGCAAGTGTAGACAGCCCCTGGGGAGCTGGGGAGGTGAGCGGGCGGTGAACTTCCCCCATTGACCCCGACCCCCAAGTTCCAAGCCACACCCCCCCACGAGGCATTCTACCCCTGCAACACACACGCCCCATGCCTCAGTTTCCCCAGCTGCAGAGGGCAGGGCAGTAGTCACTGCCAGTCAGCCAGCGCCTGGCCTTGGAGGGTCCTGGACAGGAAAAAACAGCCAGGAAGAGGAACAATGTGTGTGCTGGGGGGTGGCAGCCTTCTGGGAAACGTTAAGGGCCCAGCTGTGCTGGGACCAACCCTCCCCCAGCCCAGCAGGGCAGCCGGGAGCCCTGCCCAGTGGGGCCAAGAGGGGACAGGGGACATGAGAGGGGAAGGGGACACAGAGTCTGAGAGGGATGGGGGAAGAGACCCTGGGAGAGAGCTCAGGGGCGAGCTGGGAGGAGACCCTGAGAGAAGAGGGCTGCAGGGAGCAGAGACCCCCCGAGTCGGGGAAAGGGAGCAGGACCTGGGGACACCAGTGGGGACAGAGACCAGCAGCTACCAGCAGCTCAAGCCGCCATCTCAGCGCCTGCGGACAGAACCCCAACCCATGTGCCCCCAGGAGGCCGAGCCGTCCCAGCTGAGGATTTATTGGCGTAAATGCAACCATATAAAAACATAAGTTATGAAAAACACAGTCACGATGTGCCCCCCACCGCCCGGCCCAGGCCCCTAAAACCCCCTTCTGCGGGAGGGAGGGAGAGGAAGGGGTGCCCCGAAACCACCTAAGAAGGCCGCAGCCCCCGGGCCCGTGCAGGGCCAGGCGGGAGATGCCGGCGCCGCCTCAGCGCATCCGGTAGTCCGTGGAGCAGGAGAGCTCGCACAGCTGGCCCTTGAAGTCCAGGTCGATGGTGAAGTCCAGGTCGCGCTGTGGGCGGAGGGCGGACGTGGGGGGGAACCGTGAGGAGGCGCCAGAGGGGGTGCACGCCTGAGGAGCCTCGTGCCCCCCAGCTGTCCACACACCCTCCCCAGGACCCCGTGGGGTCCTGCTTTTAGCTCATTCCAGGCTGGAGAACCCACACTGCCGGTCCCACCCAGTATCTGCCCTCAATCTGCCTCTAAGTGACAGCTCCGCGTGACATCCTCCAACTGTCCCTGAAAAGCAGAGCTCAGCTGGTATGTCTCTTGCATCGTGAGATTTTCCCCATCAAAACCATCTGCATCAACAAAACAGTTATTTCTTCTTCTTCTAGAAGAAAACCCTTCTCAAGGACACTTTCTCCTCTCGACAAACTTGCCAGCAAAACTTGAGGGCCCCACTCCACCGGCCCTGCTCCCTCTCCTCCCGAGCTCCTGGAGGCCAGTCCTCATCCGGGCCCCCGGCACCCTGCACTCTGGAAAGGCTGGGACACAGTCACCAAGGACCTCAATGACCTGTGCACCGCGCTTCGCCCTGGGCCCCGGGCTCCTCCTCCCTCTCCCGGTGTCTGTCCCTCTGCAGTTCTCCAGCCTCTGTGCTACGGATGCTGGGGCTGGACCACTCTTTGTTGGGGGGACTCCTCGCTGCTCTCTGCACCGTAGGATGCTCGGCAGCACCCCCGGCCTCTACCCACCAGAGGCCAGTAGTACCCTGTCTTCAGTTGTGCCACCCCAAAAAGTCTGCAGAGACAGACATCCTCTGGGGAGAGGAACTAAGTTGCCCCTGGTTGAGAATCGCTGCTTAAAATGGCTCTGATCTCCCTGACTTAGAAAGCAGGCGTGACCTCGGGGACTCCCCACCACCCACACCACCCTGAGCATCCTCCAGCCTCCCACGAGGCCCCAGCCTGGACCACTCCCAACTCCGGGCTCCAGACCCTGCGTCCGCCCAGCCACTCTGGCGGCGGGAGTCCTGACTGTGCCTCAGACCTGCTGCCCCCATGTCTCAGCTGACAGCAGCTCCGGCCCGCCAGGGGCTCAGGAGGAAGACACAGCCCTCCTTTCCGCCCCTCGCTCCCCACACCTGGGCGGAGGGAAACCCTATCAGCTCTAGAACGTGTCTAGAACGGGAGCGTCGGGAGGGCTGGGGCCCCAGGGCCCAGCTTCCAGTAGGTGCTCAATAAAACCCTGTTCCCTAGACAGACCCCGAGGGTCCAGAACAGGCAGAGGTGCCCCCCGCCCCATCCCCCAGAGCCTCACGTTGTTCTTGGCGTTGGGCCGCATGCCGATGGTGCCAAAGATCTCCTCGCCCGTCTTCACCGTCAGGTAGTCCTCCATGTAGAACACTGTTTGCTTCCAGTGTGTGTACGGGGACTCGGGGCCTGCAGGCGGGCGCGGGTCAGCCAGCCCACTGGCCTGCGGCCCTGCCCTGCCCCCAGGCCGTGGCTTTGGCCTTCCCTCTGCCTGGCACGCCCCCAGGGACCGTTTACTGGACACTGAGTGGTCAACAATCCCCGAAACCCTTCACCCTCATCAAGCGGCGGAGAGAGGGATCATTGTCTACATTTTGTGGGTGGGGAAACCGAGGCACGGCACACTCAGGGCACACTCAGGTCAGCCGGCAGAGCCAGCTTCAGAACAAAGGTTCTCAGCGTCCCCGTGGCTCCCTCTGGCCGTTCCTGTCACACGCCCCCTGTCCTTGAACCCCGCCCGCCCCACGGCCCCAGGCCCGGGACCTCACTGGTGGAGAAGCCGGTCCTCTTGTGGCAGCGCGTGAACTCGATGTTGAAGTAGGCCACCAGGGCGTGCACGTAGTCATTACGCTTCACTTGCAGGCAGAAGGGGGAGGTGAAGGTCAGGTCTTCCACCTTGACGGTGTAGATGTCCACCTCCTGCGGGACAGGCCCCGTGAGCCCCGGGCCCCGACACCCGGCCCAGCATTCAACCCCAACACCTGGGGGCCGTGCTGGCTTCCCGGCCCCCCTCTCCCACATCTGAACCCCACAGCTGACAATCCTACCGCCCAGAACTACTACTTCTACTGCGAGAATCGCCCGTCTCCCCCTCTCCACGCCTACACCCTGCCCCAGCCCCCACACCTCTCCACGCCTACACCCTGCCCCAG